AGGAGAATATATATTTTTTCTATGGGTGTAGTACACTTAGATATATATGTGTGTTCAAATGTGTGCATACATGTGCATACATGTGTCTTCTTGATCACTGTCTACTTTGTTTACTGAGGCAGGGACTCCCTCTGAACGCCATTGTTAGTCTAGCTAAAGCAGACTGTCTGGTCTCTGCCTCCTCCTGTAAGCAGGGATTACATGGGGGCTGCACACCTGCTTCGCTTTTTACTTGGGTTCCAGGGATCCAGCTGCAGCCCTCACACCTGCAGGTAAGTGTTTCCCATCAGCCATGCCTAGTCCCCCAGGCAGAACTGTCTGCACTCTTAAGAAGGTTAAAAGGCTGAGACTGTAGCTCAAAGCTAAGGAGGGAGGGACGGAGAGGGAGGAGGAAGAGGCAGCCAGAGGGAAGGAAGGAGAGGAGGGAGGGAGGGAGAGAGAGAACGAGGGGAGACCACTCTGAGGTGCTTGCTACAGAAGCCTGAAGGTCTGAGTTCAGATCCCCAGAAACTGGGCGAGGAAGCCCAAGTCTCTAACCCCAGCACCCTATGGTGAGATGGGAGGTAGGGACAGGAGAATTCCCAGAAGTTTCCAGGCCATCTAGCCTGGTGAACATGACAGGAAACAAGAGACCCACACCCAAGATTCTCCTCTGACCTCCACCATATGCACACTGTGGCGTGTGCACCAGCCTCATAAGCTTGCACACACATGCATGTACACACACAGACGAAAGACTTCTAGTTCTTCATTTTTAGCTACTTTAAGGGCCTAGAGGAATAATACCAAGATTTTCAAAACAGAACAAAAATCAATCAAGCAATCAAAGACTAGGTACTAGGATATGAAAAACTGAAACAATAATTTCTGTGCATTTTGAAGAATATTAAGTACTAGAACGAAATTCCATTTCTATATAGGTCATAGGAATACCTTCACACATGCACATTCATGTAGATATAGGCTATTCATTATACTAACGTAATACGAAGAGCTGTCAAAAAACAATGTAAACATTAAGAGACAAGTGAAACACATGAATAGTCATAAAGTGCTATTCACCTTCTAAAAATGCAGTAGCTTTAAAAATCCGTATATAAAACCAACCACCACACACGTTAAGTGAAAAAAGGCAAGGTGTCAAACTGCATAGGTAGTTGTGAGCATCTGGGTAAAGAAACAGACCCTTTTTCTTCTATCTGTAGACAATCTCACTGAAAGCTCAGAGAGATTGTCTGGGGAGAGAGCTGGGGGATAACGACAAAGCAGCTTACTTTTCAGTGCCCTTGTAGCCTCTTTAAACCCTGTTCATGGGATCACCTCAAAAGGCAGGCTTCAAAGTCTTTGTAAAAAGCTAAACAAACCCCAGCGTGACTCAACAAATTACTCAATTCTGCTCAAGTAACCGGACTCTAATGAGTGAACTAAAGCTTTTGTTTTCCCTTTTGCATTCTACGTTACAAACAACCTTTGGAAAACTTGGGAAATTCATTCTTGGTTCTCCAAACCATCTCCACCCAGTGAGTCAGCTGGTAAATGGGTGGGTCTTTCGACGGGAGTGTCCTAACTGGCAAGAGGCCTAGGAACACAAGCAGCTTGGGAGGGGGAGTGAGGGAGAGGGAGGAGGAGAAACAGGAAATGTGACTTAGGCAAGGGCCGATGCAGTTTTCCAAAGGCCGCTTCTAGGTTCCGGAAGGGCCATTTAAAGCCCTCACTGACCGGGATAAATAACGCGGAAACACGACCTGACCTCTGCGTGGGTAGGTAGCCCTCTACTCAACCGTGAGGACTGAGAGGCGGCTGAAGTTTGCAGGGGCAAAATTATTTCTTCCACCGGCTTCTAATGTTTTCCTTGTCTGACTGGTAGCTCATTAAACTTGTACTGTAATTGGGACAGATTACCTTATCAGAACGGCTCTCACCTAGCAGCAATTAGGGACTGTAATGGGCAGCAGTACGATACGCGTGCACCTCTGCACCTCGGTTTCCTCGGGCTGTTACCGGGACAACTCTGATGCGGATCAAGGACCGGGGTTTGAAATCTAGAGTGTTACTTGCTAGAATAGTTCCTAAGAATTGTAAGCCCGAGCTTACATCTCAGGCTTGTGAATTCTGTCCTAGGTGTCTTCAAGCACAGCATAAATTTCCCCTAAATTTGCTGTGTCACCAAAAAGTCTGGTCACTAGCCAGACCCGGCTCTCGGTGCTGTTCTTACTCGGCCTCCCGGGAGGCGCTTCACCAGGGGCACCCTCTGACCTCAAGCCCTCCACCTGACCGAGAGCCGGGTGCCGCTGCTCCCTGGCACCCTCACTCTGCCAAGCCTTCCCGGCCCTCCCGCACGCGGGGCAAGCCTGCCCAACCCACCCCGGCACCGGAGACGCGCCCGAGTCCCCGCCACCCGGAGGCCCAGCCCGCTGGCAACCCGAACGGGGCTTCACCACCAGGCCGGCAACGCAGGCCAGACCGCGGACTGGGGACCAGCTGACTGGCGGGCGGGCGGGAGAACCGCAAGGGGAGGGGGTGCGCGTCCTCACCTGAACCAGGGAGCGGCGTCACGGCCGGGCCCCGCTTTCCCGCAATATGGAGCCGGGGAGGGCCGGAGGGCGGGGCGCCGGGGCGGCGCGAGGATGCTGGCCGCCCGGACCGCCCCCGAGCTCGGGCGGGACCCAGCTCCCCTCAGGTGGCTCGGCGCTCTGACCACGTGCTCGGGTCTGGCGTGTCTGCCCCACCCGTGGTGGTCCTGGGAAACCGGAGGGATGCTGCTGCGGCTTCTGGTCCCTCCGGGTCGAGTGGGCGGTGCGGAGGGGCTCCGAGGGACACTGAGCTTCGGGCCCCCGAGGTATCCCGAGGACCCAGGGCGTCTGCCTCCGGTGACTAGTTAGCGGGAATTCTGGGTAGACGGAACCGGAGCTGAATTAGGCAAAACTTAAGCAGAGGGGAGTTGATCCAGGGTTCTGCTTGTTCAGGAGTGCGTTAAACTCACTCTAGAACTGAGTATTTGAGGCGCGTATATGTAAAGAACCTATAAAATGCACCGTGACGCGGTGAGTGGAGGTTAGAGGTCAACCTTTCATCTTTCTTTTTTTAAAGTATGGTCTCACTCGGACTGCTGGTCAGCTGGACAGTGAGCTCCTGGGATTGCATTCTCAGCGCTGAATTACGGGCTTGCATTTCCACATGACTGAGCTATCTCCCCAGCATGCCCTTCACTTTCACAACAAAAACATGTGTTTGCGTAGGTAGGCCTGAGCACAGCTTGGAGGAATTGGTTCTCTTCCTCTACCATGTCGTTCCCAGGGATGGAATTCAGATTTTAAGGCTTTTGAGGTAAGCACTTAGGTCAGGTGTGGAGGGAAGTGCCTTCACACCTCAGCACACTCCCAACTCCACTACAGACACTTTTTTTAAAAGTGTATATTTGTGTAATATGTATGTATTTGTGTGGACACGTGTAGAGGTCAGAGGTCAATTTGGGGGCGACATTTCTCCCTTTCCACTATGTAGGTTCTGAGAAGGCAACCATGATTTTCAACCCTGGCTGCCAGGCCCATTAACCACTGGGCTCGCTGCCCCCAAGGCACTTGACTTTCTTGATGAGATCTGAAACATAAAATTTAAAATAAGATAATCTAACTTTTCTGTTTTTATTTGTTGTGTTACAGTTCTGAGGGAAAGGTATGCTTGCAGTTGGGAGCCAAGGAATACCACAAAGTCACATTGCACGACAAACCTCGCATAAGAGATTTAATGGGAAAGGCACAGGAGGAGGGTGGCTCTCTACTCCGGTGTGAGCAGAAGGCAGGATTTATATAGGGTTTCTTGGGGGAGGGGGAGGAGGTCGAGGAGCTATCCAGGGTGGCCTGGAATTGGGGGGATTATATGGCCTGATCTAGGGGCAAGCTCAGGGATTGTTGGGATTTTGTGGCTGATCTTGGGCATTTTTTTCTGTAGGGTGGGACCTGGCTACTCTCCCTCATCCAGGGGCTGAGAAGGCCATTACAGGCCTGCTGCTAGAGTAGTCTTGAGGGTGGAGGCTGGCTGCTGGGGATCTCCAGGGGCAGCAGGGCCTACAGGGGGAGTCTGTGTGGGTGCAGAGAAAGCCACTCCTCCCTCACCGGGCTGCCCAAGTCAGCATGAATAGCCAGCGTTTGTGCCTCTGGTATAATAATCTAAGCAAACATCCAAGTTTGTGAAGATTTACTCTTGTGTTTTCTTTTACGCATGTAAGTTCTTCAGATCTGTGAGCCATGTGAAGGAATGTCTGAGGCTAGGTCTTCATATAGCTCAGGCTGGCCTCAAACTTGCTATGCAACCATGAGCTGGAGCTGATTCTTCTACCTCGACCTCCTGAGTACTGGGTCTTCTTGTCTTTAGTCCTGCTATGTAACCTGGACAGCCTCCAATTCCTGAACCTCCTGCCATACTCGCCTTGTACTGGAATTTAGGCACATTCCACAACTCAGTTTGAATTCATTTTATATCACACGAATTGGGGCTCCAACTTTATTCTTTTGCATGTGGCTGTCCAATTATCCCAGCAACATTTGTTGAAAAGTCTGTCCTTCAGTCTGTCCTACAGAGCTCTCCCTGCCTCTGCCAACCTGGTCTACAGAGTGAGTTCCAGGACAGCCGAGGCTATACAGTGAAACCTGTCTCAAAAAACAAAAACAACAAAAAAGAGTACATATGTCTGTTGGGGGAAACAGAGTTATGGTCATGGCAAGGCTCTAAGAATGAACAGCTGTGGATTTCCTAATCCTGGGAATGATAAGGACATGATGCAGTCCAAACAGATATCTGATGCTAATCATTCCCTTGGCAAGAAAGAATACTCTAATTTTAAGGTCTTTTGTTCAGGTGTGTAGCAGGAGTCTTAAAAGTTCTTATTAATAAAATCAAACCTGGAGCCAGGTATTGGGGTGAACACTGGATGATCAGAGAGACAGAACAAGTCACAGCTACCTCACCTCGCCAGTTCCTCAGCTGATCCTGTTTCCTCAGGCTGGAAGCCTCCAAATCCTCATCCGAATGGTTCTCAGCTGAACTGCTGCTCAAAACCCTGAAAGCTTATCCAGCCAAATGCTTCTAGTTCCTGCTCCTCACACCTTATATATCTTTCTGCCTTCTACCACCATTCCCTGGGATTAAAGGCTCACTCCCTGGGATTAAAGGCGTGAGTCACCATGCCTGGCTGTTTCCAATGTGGCCTTGAACTCAGAGATCCCAGATGGATTTCTGCCTCTGGAATGCTAGGATTAAAGGCGTGAGTGCCAACATTTTCTAGCCTAAGTATCTTGTGGTGGTATTGTGTTCCCCCAAAATATTGTGTACCCTAATAAATTTATATCGGGCCAGAGAACAGAAAAGCCACTAGATACTTAGGATAGGCAGTGGTAGCACACACCTTTAATCCTAGCATTCCAGAGGCAGAAATCCATGTGTTCAAGGATACAGCCAAGCATGGTGACTCACGCCTTTAATCCCAGAAAGCAGCCTTTAATCCCAGGGAATGGTGGTAGAAAGCAGAAAGGAATATAAGGCGTGAGGACCAGAAACTAGAAGCTTTTTAGCTGGTTAAGCTTCAGGCTTTCGAGCAGCAGTTCAGCTGAGAACCATTGGGATGAGGACACAGAAGCTTCCAGTCTGAGGAAACAGGATCAGCTGAGGAGTTGGTGAGGTGAGGAAGCTGTGGCTTGTTCTGTCTTCTGATCTTCCAGTGTTCACCCCAATACCTGGCTCAGGTTTGATTTTATTAATAAGAACTTTTAAGATTCCTGCTACAATATCTAGTGGTTTTTCTGTTCTCTGACCCCAGATAAATTTATTAGGGTACACAATATTTTGGGGAACACAATACCACCACACAGGTGAGTCGTATTTGACAGCAAATAGAAAACAAGTGACTTAAGAAGCCCCAACATTACCCAGGTGCAGTGGCAAACGCATATATAGTTCCAGCTTTGTTGGAGGCTGTGACATTCATTCTCTCTCTCTCTCTCTCTCTCTCTCTCTCTCTCTCTCTCTCTCTCTCTCTCTCTCTCTCTCTCACACACACACACACACACACACACACACACACACACACACAGAGGTGTGTGCATGTGCCTACCTATAGCTAACTTTTTAGATATAGGCTAAATCAAACTTGTATAGGCCTGTAACCCCCCTTGTGAGGCTGAGGCAGATGTTGGTACATTCAATGCCACTCAAACAATTACAAAAGAGGGCTAGGAGTGTAACTCAGTGGTAAACAAAGCCCTGGGTTCGATTACCAGGACTAGGGGAAAAACCAGAAAGGAGTCATGTCATACTGAGTTCTCATTGGTTTAGAATCTTTACTTGGACTGTGAATAAGATTTAGCATTCAGTAGGTTTCAAAGCTGGCAACAACTGGACATCAACAGGGTGATTTGATGAAGCTTCTATTTTCCAGGCATTCAGTTAGGATTTGGTTCAAATATTGAAAAATCATCTGCTTTTTCTTCTAACTGCTTCTTATCTAGTTGGCAGGAGGAACTTCCAAGAAACATGATGTAGTAGGCACTGCTGTACACTGGCTGCTTATTGGGGTTAGAATAGACCTGTTCAGGTTTCAGGGATGCGAAAGGATTAGCCCCACAAGCAATGATGTGTGTATCCAAGTTCACCAGAATCTGCAAAGAGGCTTCCAATTCCTGTTGGCTGGGGAAGAGAGAAGGAAAATCTCTCTAGTAATTATGAGGGAGTATAAATTGCTCAAGTGCATGGCAATTCATGATCCCAAAATTTTTCTAGAGATGTACTAGGCAAGGATTATTTTTCCCTCTCAAATGTCTCACCAAATTCCAGATTATGTAATAAAGGACTGTTCCCAGAAATTTGTTTTAGAGCCTCATGCAGGAAGAAAGGACACCTTCCTAAGACAGATGGGCAAGGGGAATCAAAATGGGTTCATCTGTGTATAGGAAAAAGTGAGTCAGGAAAGGATCACAAATAGAAATAGGTAAAAACCTGTAAACAGTAATCAACGTTGGGATCACATAGTCACGAAGTAGCAGCAGGGTAGGTAGCCAAGCTTCCATCAAGACTGGGGAGGCATGGAAACCTGAAGAACAAGAATGGAAATGTGAAGAGATGGGAGAAAGGCTGAGGTATATCCCAAGAGCATGACAGTCCTTTGATTTTTATCTACTCAACAACTTCATGTTGTTCATCCCCAGTTCTTACCATCAGGAGCTACCCAAGTTCTTCCATAAAAGATTGTGAACCAAGATAGTATGTATGGGGAATGATCAACCAAGCTCGACATTATACTGTATTTAATGAGGATCAAGAGAAATGAATAAGGACCAAATGAAAACAGATCTAAGTTGTCATGGCTAGTTTAATGTCAACTTGACACAAGCTAGAGTCATCTGAAAAGAAGGAACCTCAACTGAGAAAATGCCTCTATAAGATCAGGCTGTAAGGCATTTTCTTAATTAGTGATGGATGGGGGAAGGCTCAGTCCATTGTTGGTGGGGCCATCCCTGGGTGGGTGGTCATAGATTCTATAAGAAAGCAGGCTGAGCAAGCCTTGGGGAGCAAGCCAGTAAGCAACACCCTTCCTGACTCCTGCCCTGCTTGAAACCCCCCACCTGCCCCCCAACAGGGTTTCTCTGTGTAGTTTTGGTGCCTGTCCTGGAACTTGCTCTGTAGACCAGGCTGGCCTTGACTCACAAGAGATCCGCCTGCCTCTGCCTCCTGAGTGCTGGGATTAAAGACATGTGCGCCACCACCGCCTGGCTGCCTGCTTGAATTTCTGTTCTGACTTCCTTCAGTGATAGAAGTATAAGCTGAATAAACTCTTTCCTCCCCAACTTTCTTTTGGTCATAGTGTTTCATCACAGCAATAGAAACCCTAACTAAAACATAATAAGTGCAGGGTAGAAAATTATCAGCTCCTCAGTATTTCTCTGAATGAATAGCTCTTACCTGGATGGAATGCAGCCACCAAATCTGGATGGGCTAGATTCCCAGTCTCTATCTGCTCCTCCCAGAAGTCATGATACAGAGCCTTGTAGCCACTAAGCTGAATTGTTCCAGGCTCCAGGGGTATAGGCGAGGAACTCTGTAACAGGTTAGTGCCCACATCCACACCCACCATGATCACACGGAGGCCAAGGTGTTCAGGAAACATGTAGCCAAGCTCATCATAATCTCCAGAACGAATGAGGAATGTCTCCACATGGGAAGCACCAACTACATGCAATGTGATTCCCCCAGTCTTCCCAACATCTAGGGCCAGAGTCCGAAGCCCTAGGCCCAGGGTCAAAGGCCGTGACAAAGCATCTGTCATCAACCGCTTCAAAGAGCTGTGCAGAACATCTGGTTCTGGTTGTGGCCTTCCTAGATTGGCCCAAAGCATGGTCATAGCACGGCTATCTAGAACAGCATTCAGTGTAGCCTCTAGCTGTAAACCCCTCATAGAAAACCAGGTATCCCAATCATGTATCTCTTCCGCCGGCCATGGCCAAGGTCCCGAGGGTAGGACAAAATCACCTGTAGGGGAGGAGAAAGTGAACGGGGCTGGAAAGAAGAGGGCACACTGCGTTTGGAAAGGACCCGAGTTCAGTTCCCAGCAGCCAAATTGAGGGGCTCACAACTGTCTGTAATTCCAACTCTAGGGGATTCCATGCCTTCTTCCAGCCTTGAGGGGTACTGTACTTACGTGCACAAACTGAAATACCCATAATTTAAAAAATATTAAACAGCAAATCCTTCCTTGGCTTCAAAATTCCCTCCTCAATAATTCATATTTATTCTGCAACCAGTAACTACAAGTATCCCCATTCCTTGCTACAGTTTATTTTTTTCTAACTACAACCAACAATTATCACTAAGATACAGTTTTCTTTCTTTTTTTTTTTTTTTTTTTTGGTTTTTCGAGACAGGATTTCTCTGTGTAGTGTTGCGCCTTTCCTGGAACTCACTCTGTAGTCCAGGCTGGCCTTGAACTCACAGAGATCCGCCTGGCTCTGCCTCCCGAGTGCTGGGATTAAAGGCGTGCGCCACCACTGCCCGGCAAGATACAGTTTTCTAATACCCCTATTCTACCTGTGACCAGAAGCCATTCCATGACGCGATCCACAGCCACAAGACGGAGCACTTGACAAACCTTCCTGTGTGCTGGCCAATCTGACCTCTGACACTCTGTATCACAGTAATAGACATTTCTGCACCTGAGAGAATGAACCAAAGAAACACATCCCTGTATCAGAAAGGTAACTGCACGTGTCCAGGGAAGGAGACCAAATACTGCACCTTCAAAGAAAGGCCAATGCACAGGTGAGGATGGTGTGGAGAAAAATGACAGGTAGCAATGCCAACGCGGGAGCCACATTGGCAGGTGAAGCAACAGGCATTAGGAGTGCAATTCTCAGACAGAGTGCTGCCCCAGCTCCACCTGTCTAAAACTTAAGTTTTTCACTTCTTTCAGGAAAAAAAAAAAAGACTCTGTTGATGCTTTCTCAGGTGTGACCACCTCAACCTTCTCAGAACAAATGTGATCTTACCCTATGTGTACTCAGGAAGAAAGCAGAGTGTCTGCTATTTCATCTCCCACAACACCAAAAATAAACAGGATAAAAACTGGGGCCACACAAAATGAGAAACTATTAATTCTGAAAGCAAACCAAACATAAAAAAAACCTTAGGGTTGGTCCTCTTGGAATGAGGACTTAGCATAGGGTTATTTCTGAAAGTTCCCCACTAGCATCCCACAAGTCACCTCTTACAGTGCCGGAGAACCTTGTGATCTGAAAGGTTAAAAGGGAGTGCTTTACAGGAAGCACAGAATCGGAACGTGTCCTCCATCCTCTGGAACATTTCTTGTGGACACCGAAATCCAAAGCTGCATACTGGGGTTCCCCCATCTACCACCAACCTGTAGAGATAGTACGAGAGAAAGGCAATAGGGAAGAGCATCTCCCCAAGCTCTTCTGTGCTTTCCCCACCTTGTATAGATTTTTCTATGATCTAAAATGTATCCCACTCCCATTTTTCTTAAGCAATTATGTTTCTTCTATACTAATATAACTGACAAAGGTCAGAATGAGAAAATTCCCAATTATACTTTTCCATCTTCTGATATGCCGGTACCAGACACTGAGCCCCTTCCCACAAACTGGTCACTCACTTGTATTCTTCATAGCTCTTCATGTTCAGCTTTTGAAGGATCAACTGGGACAGACCTGGTACATTATTGTCCAAGGAAATAAAGCCAAGAGCATCAATGCTAGGGTTAGGTTTTGAGAGGGTTGGAGGTTCCGCAGACACTTCTGTGGGTGGGATTACAACCATAGGAGTCACTGGTCGGGGTTTCTTGTGCTTTCGCCGCTGTGAACGTGGAGCCATGTCCAAAGAACTTGGGGACCAGATGCTAAACAGGAATTTGATAAAATAAACGTGTGTTTTCAGATGCCTGGCCTTTTACTTCACACTCAAGTCTCTGAGGCCTGGCTATGAGAAAATTTATTAGTTATAGGTTACTTACTGCTATAAGCAGTTACAAAAAATAGAGACCACTGGGCACATGGTGGCTCACTTCTATAATACTAGTATTCCCACTCACTTCTGTAATACTAGTATTCCCACTCACTCCTGTAATACTAGTATTCCCACTCACTCCTGTAATACTAGTATTCCCACTCACTTCTATAATACTCGTATTCCCACTCACTTCTATAATACTAGTATTCCCACTCACTCCTGTAATACTAGTATTCCCACTCACTTCTGTAATACCAGTATTCCCACTCACTTCTGTAATACTAGTATTCCCACTCACTTCTATAATACTAGTATTCCCACTCACTCCTGTAATACTAGTATTCCCACTCACTCCTGTAATACCAGTATTCCCACTCACTTCTATAATACTAGTATTCCCACTCACTTCTGTAATACCAGTATTCCCACTCACTTCTATAATACTAGTATTCCCACTCACTTCTGTAATACCAGTATTCCCACTCACTTCTATAATACTAGTATTCCCACTCACTTCTATAATACTAGTATTCCCACTCACTTCTGTAATACCAGTATTCCCACTCACTTCTGTAATACCAGTATTCCCACTCACTTCTGTAATACTAGTATTCCCACTCACTTCTATAATACTAGTATTCCCACTCACTCCTGTAATACTAGTATTCCCACTCACTCCTGTAATACTAGTATTCCCACTCACTTCTGTAATACCAGTATTCCCACTCACTTCTGTAATACTAGTATTCCCACTCACTTCTATAATACTAGTATTCCCACTCACTTCTATAATACTCGTATTCCCACTCACTTCTGTAATACTAGTATTCCCACTCACTTCTGTAATACCAGTATTCCCACTCACTTCTGTAATACCAGTATTCCGTAAGCTAAGGAATACACAGTGTTCCAGGTCAACTTGGGCTGCATAGCAAGACCCTCTCTCAAACAAAAATGAAAACAAAAACATGAGAATTACATACAATATGATTTATGCATGTGTGTGATATATGAAGCTCTATATACAGGTAAGTAAATATACAAAACCCTTAAAGAAGCAGTGGGTAGGAACTGGGTTGATGAAAATAGCCCCTAGACTTGTCTACATTGGACTTTTGGGGGAAGTGGGAGGGGACAGGTCATATAGACCAGGATGGTCCTTAACTCATTATGTTGCCGAGGATGACTTTGAACTCCTGATCCTCTGGCTCCATTTCTCAAGTGCTAGGACCACATCTGTGAATGCTAGGTAAGCACTATATTATGTGAACTACACCCCCAGCCTCTTTTATAAAAATAATATATTCATGTAGTGGATAACCATTCTATCTATGACCTTGGAGCACCACCCCTAGAGATGTAGTAGGTTAACTGTCTTATCTATGACCTTGAAGTACCTGCCCCAGGGTATGTCTCGGGCTACCCTTAAGACCCTGTAGTGAGTCTTCCTCCCTAATAAATTCCTTTACCCTTTAAACAGACTCTGTGGATTTCTCGTAATTAATATATTAAACACATAGAATCTTTTGTAATTTGTTTTGAAGCAGATTCTTATGTAGCCCAGCTGTGTGCCACCCTCTCTGTCTCAGCACACACACTGCTAAATTAACTTTAAAAAGAAGAAAAAGCAACATAAGTTTTTGTCTATCCAAAGTTAATAGCAGATGGAAAACCGGCTAACCTCACCTAGTTTGGAGACAAGACATAAATCTTCAGCATCAGCCTGTTTTGCTGGCTCTCCTCTCCACCCTGTAGTGCTCTGGCTGCCCTGGCACCCTATCTGCTCTTCCCTGAGCTCCTTCTAACTAGTGCTGTGGATCTAGTCACCATCATGATCATCCACTAGGACCTCACCGGCATGACACACTGTTCTATGACACAGGCATGGAGGGCAAAGTGGTCAGTGGGATAAGAGGTAACACTGTGGAGGCACACGCCTTTAATCCCAGCACTCGGGAGGCAGAGCCAGGCAGATCTCTGTGAGTTCGAGGCCAGCCTGGTCTACAGAGGGAGATCCAGGACAGGCACCAAAGCTACACAGAAACACCCTGTCTCGAAAAACCTTTAAAAAAAAAGGTAACACTGAAGGTCCGAGAGAAAGGTATTTAAAGCACTGTAATCACTGATGTTGACAGTCACGAACCAGCTTCATCAAGAGTCTACAAGAAGTACATCAAAGAATATACGAAATTACTCAAAAGCAAATGAGAAGAACACAGACCAGAAACTGTAAAATCTTTGTGACAGGGATGCAGAACAGTTAAGCATATCTAGGCCAACTTAAGTAACTACCAGTTTTTTACTGGGAACATAGGAATCAAAATGGCATGGTTTCAGTCCTAACATAAAGATCAGGTGTGACTCTAGATAGGATTTTCTTTAATGATGGTTTAAAAATAGAAATTGTTAACAAACTGGGATCTGTTGCCTGCCATAATATCTGGCTGATGCTTGTCCTCCAAACAATACCAGGACTTAAGATAAATGGGACTAATATTATCTTGAACTTTTAAAGAACTAATTTTAGCAGGGCGGTGGCGGCGCATGCCTTTAATCCCAGCACGTAGGAGGCAGAGGCAGGTGGATCTTTGTGAGTTCGAGGCCAGCCTGGTCTACAGAGCGAGATCCAGGAAAGGCGCAAAGCTACACAGAGAAACCCTGTCTTGAAAAACAAAACAAAAGAACTTATTTTACATGTCTGTGTATAGATGTAGACGCATGCATACTGCGATGTGTATGTGGGATGTTGAGAACAACTTGTGGAGTCTTTTCTGGCCTTCCACCTCATTTGAGGCAGGATCTCTCCTTATATGCCTCACTGTACGATCCAGGCTAGGGCGCCCACAACTGTTCAGGCAATTCTCCTGTCACTACCTCCCATCTTGGCCTAAGAGCAAGGAACTATGGATGTGTGATTGGGCTTTTCTTTTTTTTTCCTTTTCTTTTTATTTTAGGGGGTGCGTATCTCTGTGTAAGTTTGGCACCTGTCCTGGATCTCGCTCTGTAGACCAGGCTGGCATCGAAGTCACAGAGATCTATCTGCCTGGCTCTGCCTCCTGAGTGCTGGGATTAAAGGCGTGTGCCACTCGGCTCATGATTAGGCTTATCATTTGGATTCCAGGGTTAGGATTCAGGTCATTAAGCTTGCTGGGCAAGCACTGTTACCCACTGAGCTACTTCAACTCTGGGCTGACGTTTCTTTAGAAGATTAATCTTTATGTTTGTAAGTGATTTTCCTGCACATTTGTGTGTTGTGTGCACGCCGGGTGTTGCGGAGATCAGAATAGGGCGTCACATTCTTAGAACTAGAGTTACAGACAGTTTGAGCTACCATGTGGGTGCTGAGAACCAAACCGAGGTCCTCGAGAAGAACAGCAGGTAAGTGTTGCTGAGCCATCTCTCCACCTGTTCTTTTTTTTTTAAGATTGATTGATTGATTGATTGATTATGTATACAGTGTGCCTGTGTGTCAGAAGAGGGCACCAGATCTCACTATTGATGGTTGTGAGCCACCATGTGGTTGCTGGGAATTAAACTCAGGACCTCTGGAAGATCAGTCAGTACTCTTAACCTCTGAGCCATCTCTCCAGCCCCCCTGTTTTTTTGTTTGCTTTTTTTTAAACCATAATTCATTTGGAGTAGAGGCATTGGTTTTGTATTTTAAGTTGTTTTTAAATTTTATTTTTTTTTTAACAAAGAAAAAACAGTATGCCCAGCAAGGTGGCTCAGTAAGTAGAGATGCTTGCTGTCAAGATTGACAACTGGAGTTTGACCCTGGGAACCCATGTGATCAGAGTAAAATCAATTTCTGAAAGGTGTTCTGTGACTTCTGTGCATATGCGTGCATGTACATGCATAGGCACACACATAAATAAATGTAATTAAAACCATTTTTTTTTCAAAGAACAAAGTAGTCAGGTGTGGTACTGCATGCATCATAATTCCAGGATCCAGGAAGCAATGACAGACAGATCTCTGTGAATTTTAGGCCAGCCTGGTCTATACAGCAAGCTGCAGGACAGTTAGGGCTACACAATGAGATTCTGTTCCAACAGCAACAACAAAACCAAACTTATAAGTTAACCAAAAATAAAGTGCATTTATTTGCTTGAAAAAAATTGTAAGCAATAAACTTAAGAAATATACAGTAAGTTCAATACAAAATGAGCACCAGAAAGGCAAAAATAGAGTAAAAGCAGGGGCTAGAGAGATTGCTTGGTGGTTAAGAGCATTGGCTGCTCTTTCAGAGAATCTGGGTTCAATTCCCAGAACCCACATGGCAGCTCACAACTGTCTGTAACTCCAAAGGATCCAACACCTTCATCCAAACACACATGCAGGCAAAACATCAATGCATGTGAAATAAAAATAAATCATGGGGCTGGAGAGATGGCTCAGAGGTTAAGAGCACTGACTGCTCTTCGAGGTCCCGAGTTCAAGTCCCAGCAACCACATGGTGGCTTACAACCATCTATAATGAGATCTGGTGCCCTCTTCTGATGTGCAGACATACATAGAAACAGAACACTGTATACATAAAAAATAAATCTTTAAAAAAAATAAATAAATCGTGTGTGTGTGTGTGTGTGTGTGTGTGTGTGTGTGTGTGTGTGTATTTGCTTACTTCAGCAGGACACATACTAAAAATTGGAATGGTAAATGCTAATTTAAAAATGACTTTACGAGCAAGAGGTGGTGGCACACACTTGGGAGGCAGAGCCAGGAGGATCTCTGTGAATTCGAGGTCAGCCTGGTCTACAGAGTGAGTTCTAGGACAGGCACCCAAAACTACACAGAGAAACCCTGTCTCAAAAAAAATTAATAAAACATACAAATTTTGAAGTAAAATCAAGGCCATATCCATCCACTAGTCTAGTTGGGACTCTGGGACACCCAAGTTTCTCTTCTTGTCTTTTCTTTTACCTGTGCCTAGACACAAGAGGTCATACTGGAAAAAATTAAAACTTCCACTCATCCAATGTATATTTATTGATAAACAGGTAAAATCACTTGTAAAATACTACAGGGAAACAAATATGAAAACATATGTATTTCTGTTGGGCATGGTGCCTGTGATCTCAGTAGAAGGCTTAGGCAAGAGTATCACAAGTCTGAGATCAGTTTGGGTTATAACAAAGAAACCCTGTCAACTGAAAACAGGAAAAAACTTAAGCAAGTCATCTAAATGGGGGTATAAAGTACTATGAAATCTTCTAGAAAGCACTGTGGGAGAGCAGAAGACAGTCTCCATAGTAAATAAGTAATGGACGACTTCATGAAACAGAGATTAGTTTTGGAACTGATCTTGAAAGATGGGAATACTCTGAATGCATGCAGACAGGGAAAAGGACTTTTTAATACAAAGAAAAGAATGACTGTAGAAATACTGACAGGAATAATCTGAGAACTAATGAAAAAATGACTTGAGATACCATCAACAGTGTGAAATAACCCAAAGAATTAGAGGAAATATTTCTATGTTACACACTCATAAGGAGATTTAATATGTAGAGTATATAAAAAAAACTCTTGCCAGCCATGGTGGCACATACCTTTGATTCCAGCACTCAG